TTTTTTTTGAGGGAGAGGAGGCTTTGTCAGAAGAAACAGGTTGTAATTTACTGTAATCAGAAAGCCTCTTTAATTTTTCAATCATTTTTCAATTATATCAATTATTTTTCTTTTTAAAGATCAGTTTTTTTTGTTTAAAATATTTTTTTTTGCTATTTAAACATATTTGTGCGGTTCTGTTTTTTGACCGATAATAAATTTATTATGGTCATTTGGTATTCGTTATAGTGTACAGTTTTATAATCAGACAAAACTGATTTATGTTAAGATAATATCTTTATTTGACACATACACAGAAAGACACACACAAACACATACCCATTTTAGGTATCACCGCTGACAGCCGATAGTTTACCACCGGAAATTTATCCAGAAATTCTAAAATACTTAAAAAGAACGGATATCGATAATTGTTCATTGGTATGCAGGAGGTGGTGGTCACAGATTGAGCGAAATTTTCACTTTTTGGCTAAACATCATATAAAACGATTGCATATCGAAGAAGATAAAACTGGTTTTACGCTGAATATAAGGTAAGCCAATCATTTTTCTTTTCGATAATTGTTGTAAAAAGGATAGAAGAAAAAAAAAGACGGGTTCAAATAATTATCATTCAATTTTTTTTGCAGTTGTTAGTGTTTATGGGTGTTCTTTTGTTGCTCAGTTGTGATTGAAACTATTTTCTATGCTAAATTTCTGGACGGACAATTTCAAGAAATAAAGCATGAAACCCCATCGATTGTAACTGTGTGTGTATCAGCGACCAACATTGTTCTCTCCTTCATTATTTTCTTTTTTTTTTTCAAGCTTTAATTTTTCAATTTTTAACGAAATGTTTTTAAAGATGAAAAAAAAAAGGAAAAAAATGGAAGGAAAAAGGCAATTATTTCTTGCTTCTTTGTTCTACATTTTTGCGGACAACTCATTTATCTCTTTAAAATCCTTTTCTTTTTTTTTTTTTTTACTTTTGAGAGAAAGCTTCTGAAAGCAAAGTTTTGTCCGGGAACATTTTATGCCTTCTAACAAAAGGCTTCAATGATCGAACTGAACTTGTTTTTGTCGCTTCACTGCACACATCAGAATTACAATGGTGTTTATTCAGTTTAGTTATAAAAGAAAAAAAGCGAAATTTTTATTTCTTCAAGTATCACATATGAGTTTTTGATTATCTGCAGGAAAAAGAAGTTCCAGATCTGTAACTGTAGATTCCGAATTAAATTTATTGATGTTATGTTTTATTTGTTGGAGTGAAGACGATCTTTGGTCGTGTTTTTACTATTCAGAAAATTGACAGCAACAGCTACGGAAGTGTAACAAATTTATCAAATTCTATGTTTTTAGTGGTCCCGAACTTGTAAAGCAATGGAAGTATCGGAAGGCTTCTATGGAACAAAAGGCACTAATGTTACGGAAACGTCATCATAATGATTGCGAAGATTCTGGAATACCACCGATGAAACTGTCCGCTATGTGCGTTTATGCGGCTTCAAATCTGCCGTCAACTTCCTACCCAAATATTGTTCCAGTTATACTTGTTGAACCAATTGAGGAAGCAGCAAAAGTTGCCTTTAAAAAGGTTTGTATTTTAGTATGCATTCTTTTTCTTTTGATAGCAATATACAGCAAAAAAAATTTTTATTTCTTGTTTACTTGAAGCTTATATCAGCATTTGTAATATAGAGGGAAGCTTTCTTTAAGCTTTAAAGAAGCTTTCTTCAAGTTCTAGTAAAATAAATTTTTAGAAAATTCATGTTCCGCCAGTTGAACTGTTTGCACGTTTGGTGAAGTGTTATCGGCATGCAGATATTGATACAATAACGTTCAACGAGTTTCGATTGACCGACCAGTTTGTTGATCGATTTAGGGAGGCATTCGACGGTCATCCGGTCAAATGTCAACAGCTTATTTTAAGATTTACAAAGCTCAAATATATATCTGTAAAAAAGTTTGTATTAATCAAGTATTCAACCTTTTTATTGTTTTCTTTGAACTCTGTTTTATCATATTGTAATCAGAAAAAAAGATTTTAATTTGGGAAAAATTATGGTAATAAATTTTGATAACCATCAAAAAATCTATTAACAGATATTGATTTAAAAGGTTTTAGCGCTAAAGTTTTGATATTGTTTAGATGTAGATTTGATTTCAACAAAGTTTACATAAATTCTTATAGGCATAAAATGTTGTATAAACCTGTAGAATATCCTGATTATCTCAATTAATTTCAGGTTTGATGAATTGTTGGCTATGTTTGATACAAAATCGTTAAAATTTGAATGGATTCGAGACTGTAATGGTCATTTATCGTGTATGGGTGTTCAGGAACGTATACGGGACTATGTTACATCACTGGAAATTATGAATGTTACACCTGAATTACAACCTTTTTCCAGCGACTTTGTGTTACAATTTTTGCTAAAATCTGGCGTTAATTTGTTGAGGATTGAAGAATGCGATATTTGCTTAAACGATTTGATCAAACTTATTGAGGTAGTTTAAAAACACTTTTTTTAGAAGCAGTATTTTTCTGTTAAAATTGTAAGATATTTGGCATTTTTTGTTGAGTTGCTTAATTAAGTGTTCATATTTAGGAATGGCATAAATCAGAAACGGTACTGTTTGGAAAGGTATGTTTGGTGGTAAAAAATTTGAAATGGAAGAAGTTTTTTGAATTATTACCGGCACAAAATGTTGCACGCCAAGGCTACAAGGCAATTATGCATAGTCGACTGCCATATGAGCTTCGGCTTTGGGTCTGCGGAAATGTGTTGTATATGGTGACTGAAAAAAGTCCTAAACATTGATGATAATTTATCAATAGCTATTTGTTAAGAAAATTTAGAAGAGAAAGGTGTTCTTTTCTTGTTATTTGTGCTTTTTTTTTCATTCCGCTTTTGTTCTGTGTAAGTTTTTTTTAGCCGGAAAAGAAAAAAATTGGCATTGTAAAGGTGTCTTTTGGTGACTGCAAAACTTGTGGTGTATTGCCGACTTATTACAGCAACAAAAAGTGATTACAGTAATACGTATTAGCATATAACAT